ACGCGCAAAGGAAGTGAGGTTCAAATCTCGGGAACTGATCGGAATTAACGGAAAGGGAAGTGACAGAACGGACAGGTCAAGGTGCCCGGTGGCCGGCTGTGTCGCGTCAGCGTGTAAATGAGATGATGATGAGATCATGATGATGATGAGAAGAGCGATGACATCATAATAAGGATGATCATGATGATGATTATGATGATAACTACCATCGTAACACCCTTTGCATCACCAGTGCTGCCTACTAAGAGATGATCATGACATCCTCGGCATCACCAGTGCCGGCTAATAAGAGATGGTAATAACCATGATGATAGTGATGATAAGGATGAGGACTGTGATGATAAGTATCGTCGTAGCATCCTCTGCATTGCCAATGGGGTCTAACGTTACTTTTGAAATGCATATAAGAATAAGAACAAGAATGAGATGATGATGATCATCATGATGATGATGAGAAGAGCGATGACATCATAATAAGGATGATCATGATGATGATTATGATGATAACTATCATTGTAACACCCTTTGCATCACCAGTGCTGCCTAATAAGAGATGATGATGACATCCTCGGCATCACCAGTGCCGGCTAATAAGAGATGATAATAACCATGATGATAGTGATGATAAGGATGAGGACTGTGATGATAAGTATCGTCGTAGCATCCTCTGCATTGCCAATGGGGTCTAACGTTACTTTTGAAATGCATATAAGAATAAGAACAAGAATGAGATGATGATGATCATCATGATGATGATGAGAAGAGCGATGACATCATAATAAGGATGATCATGATGATGATTATGATGATAACTATCATCGTAACACCCTTTGCATCACCAGTGCTGCCTAACAAGAGATGGTGATGACACCCTGATGATACTGATGACAAGGATGAGGACTGTGATGATAACTATCATCGTAGCATCCTCGGCATCACCAGTGCCGGCTACTAAGAGACGATGATCCTCGGCATCACCAGTGCAAGCTAATAAGAGATGATGTGTGATGATAGGAATCATCGTAGCATCCTCGGCATCACCAGCGCCGGCTAATAAGAGATGAGGATGACCTGATGCTAGTGATGACAAGCATGAGGACTGTGATCATAACTATCGTTGTCGCATCCTCTGAATTGCCAATGGTGTCTAACGTAGCATCCTCGGCATCACCAGGGCGGCCCGAGACTTACCCCACAGGCCCAGTATCCCTAGCACTCATTGTGCCGAAAAGTAATGGGCTCATTTTTTGAGATAGCGCCCCCTGCGCTCAAGCCTAAATGAGTCCCCTGTGTGGAGAACAAGAATGAGATGATGATGAGCATCACGATGATGATGAGAAGAGCGATGACATCATAATAAGGATGATCATGATGATGATTATGATGATAGCTATCATCGTAGCACCCTTTGCATCACCAGTGCTGCCTAATAAGAGATGATGATGACATCCTCGGCATCACCGATGACAAGGATGAGGACTGTGATGATAACTATCATCGTAGCATCCTCGGCATCACCAGTGCCGGCTACTAAGAGACGATGATGACCATGATGATTACGATGACAAAGACGCGGGGTGTTATATCATCGTAGCATCCTCGGCATCATCAGTGCCGGCTAACCAGAGATGATGATGACCATGATGATACTGATGATAAGGATGAGGACTGTGATGATAACTATCATCGTAGCATCCTCTGCATTGCCAATGGGGTCTAACGTTACTTTTGAAATGCATATAAGAATAAGAATAAGAATAAGAACAAGAATGAGATGATGATGATCATCATGATGATGATGAGGATGATAGACCCCATTGGCAATGCAGAGGATGCTACGACGATACTTATCATCACAGTCCTCATCCTTATCATCACTATCATCATGGGTATTATCATCTCTTATTAGCCGGCACTGGTGATGCCGAGGATGTCATCATCATCTCTTATTAGGCAGCACTGTGTGCTGCCTAATAAGAGATGGTGATGGCCGTGATGATACTGAGGACTGTGATGATAACTATCATCGTAGCATCCTCGGCATCACCAGTGCCGGCTACTAAGAGACGATGATCCTCGGCATCACCAGTGCCAGCTAATAAGAGATGATGATGACCATGATGATAATGATGACAAGGATGAGGACTGTGATGATAACTATCATCGTAGCATCCTCGGCATCACCAGCGCCGGCTAATAAGAGATGATGATGACCTGATGCTAGTGATGATAAGGATGAGGACTGTGATCATAACTATCGTTGTAGCATCCTCTGCATTGCCAATGGTGTCTAACGTAGCATCCTCGGCATCACCAGGGCGGCCCGAGACTTACCCCACGGGCCCAGTATCCCTAGCACTCCTTGTGCCGAAAAGTAAGGGGCTCATTTTTTGAGATAGCGCCCCCTGCGCCCAAGCCTAAATGAGTCCCCTGTGTGGCAGCTACAATGGGCCAGAGCGGGGCGTTAAGCCCCAATCTTCAGGGGCCGGGGGGGGCAGTCATCATGATCATCATGTCCACGCAGCTTTTGCATGTCAAACCCTCTCTGACGCCACAATTGAAACGTATATCAAAAAATAAGGATGATGACGAGGATGATGATGTTGAAGGATATAGAAATGATGATGATGATGTTGACGATAAGAATGATGAAGGATCATATCGATGATGATGATGATGATGGGCATCCGTATGATGCCAGTAGTCATATGCTTGCCTCAAAGATTAATCCATGCGCTTGTACTGCAACCACCCTTCCCGTGCGCCTCCCCCTTTGAGGAGAAGGGGTCGGCGGATTTGGGTAAAGGGGTTTGAACACACATATATATATTATATATATATATATTAAATATATTAATGCCATGTTATAACTCAATATTTCGTGCAATATGGTCTGTAATATTGTGCAGGCTTAATCTGTTTGGTATTGATATTGGTGGGTGGGTTGGGAGTTTTCAGGTGAAGGGGGGAAGGGGTGTTGTTGGTTCATTGTGAATTTATGAACTATACTGGAAGTAAAGGTAATTATATTATATATTGTTGGTGTTGGGCTAAAGGTTTGATTATACATTGTTTAATAGCATTTAGAATCCTGACTAAGCTAGTTGTGTTGTATACAATATGTTTTTGTTTGACATATGTGTTTTATTCACATGAGGAAACGATCGAGGGATATACTTTGGTTATTGCGGATTTCTTTGGAGTTCGTTTAATTTGAAGTTCTTTTCTGGTAAGGACATATGCTTTATTGACGAACAATAGTCCATAAAGAAAACAGTTGGGCAGCGCCAAAAACCCATATGAAGGAAGTTAATTGAGGGCCTCTCCTACCCTATTTGCAGCACCGCTCAATTACGGCAACAATGAGATTCATATTGGTAGAATAAGCGAGAATATGCATAGAGCCGACGAAGATGGTGGGCGCAAGCTTCAATAGATATAGACAACTGTAGTGATCGAGTTCTGTTTGTTTTCTTCATTATTTTTCTCTTGTTGTGCGTGCGTCTTTATTGGTTTCTTACTGTCTCCTCCTCTTTATTTCGTTCCTTATTTTATCTATCTTTTTCGCTTTACTTGTTTTTTCCTGTTTTCGTTGTTTTTGCTTTCTTCGTTTGGTTATTGTCTTCCTTCCTTCTTCCTTCCTTCCTTCCTTCCTTCCTCCCACCCTTCCTTCCTCCCACCCTTCCTTCCTCCCGTCATCCCTTTCTTCCTTTCGTTATTTCTGTTCTTTCCTCCTTCCTGTCTTTCTTTCTTTCTTTCTTTCTTTCTTTCTTTCTTTCTTTCTTTCTTTATTTCTGTCTCTTTGTTTCTTGCTTTCTTTATTTGTTTTCCGCTCTCTCTCTCTCTCTCTCTCTTGTTCTTTAGTTCTATCTGCAACAGATAGTTGTTTTATGTTGTTTTTTCTTATTGTTGTTTTTTCTTATTTTTTTTTAATTATTTAGTCTTTTTGTTTTGTTGTCTTGCTCGCTCTCTCTCTCTCTCTCTCGTTCTTTCTTTGTTTCATTCATTTATTCATGAATTCATTCATTAGTTCTTTCTCTCTCGCTGTCTCTCTATATTCCTCTCTTTCTCTTGCTCTTTCTCTCTGATTTGTTTTCGTTCTTACTTTCATGTTTTTTGTTTATGTCTGTTTGTCTGTCTGTCCGTCCGTCGGTCTGTTCGTCTGTCTGTCTGTCTGTCTGTCTGTCTGTCTGTCTGTCTGTCTCTCTGTCTGTCTGTCTGTCTGACTGTCTGTCTGTCTGTCTGTCTGTCTGTCTGTCTGTCTGTCTGTCTGTCTATTTTTCTCTTTTTCTTGGTTCTTTCTATCTTTATTTTTAGTTTTTATTATTCTTTTCTTTTTTCTGTTCTACTTTTTTTTCAATTTGTTTTTTTTCACTCTCTCTCTCTCTCTGTCTTTCTTTCTTTCTGGTTTTCTTTATTGATGTGTGTTTTCTTCTTTCTGTTTGTCTTTCTTTCTTTCTAGCAAATGTTTGATCGGCCTGTGGCAGTAAACAACCTGCAGCGCTCTGCTGTTTGTTTGTCAAGTCCAATCATTGCAATGGGTGCACTGCTGTAGGTGCGAATTCATTGGCACCAAATCTGTATGAGCCTGTGCTCGGGGGATTTGGTGTGATGTTTGATTTGGCACGGAATGCAGAGTTGCTGGGTTTCTGTGAAACCCCTATGCAAAGCCAAGCAAGCTTTTGAAACCAGGCCTCTTGCAATAGCAGCCTTGCGCTGAAACGATCTGGTGATGCGGCCACATGCACTTGTTGTGTTGTTTATGACTAAATCATGAGGCGGGGCAAGCACCTTTGCACTTGTTAGCCCAGAAACATTGACTAACACAATCAGCATAGCCAACAGATTGCATGCATATGGCTTTTGGTTCAAGCAGGTAAGATGAGTGCTTATTCCATATATCAACATGCCAGCCAGCCACAGGTGAGCTGTCAGAAGCAGCTACGGAAGTGCCGGGTGCAGGATAGCATTCTTTGGCAAAACGATTTGCAATTCTCAGCTACAAAAGCCCACAGGACCTGGCCGGTTGTTATGTTGCCATGCCGCCTAAAAGTAGGTCCAAAAGCCTGGCGCGGATTGACAGTCAAAAGAAGATCAAAAAGATAGCCCAGGCCTTGCAGGAGTTGCAGGCGATTTCAAAAGTATGAGTTCTGAGGCCACTGCAACCATATCCGAAGACAAGAAAGCAGCTGACTTGAAATGGCTGGAGGAGGCGCAGCAAACTCAGTTTTGCTGGCACAGATGTTGTTTTTTTGTCTTTTCCGCGACCGATCGGAACGGCGCAGGTGAATTCTTCGATCGGCGAAAGTCTTGTACCACGGGTGTTTCAGCTTCTTGGATTCGGCCTAGCCCAGGCTGGAAATCGAATCAAAGGGATGTCCAGACAACTCTGGGAGTTGTTCTTCATGTCCAGGGCGAACGACAATTTCTACGTGCTGGCAGCAGTGCTGTGGAGCGCATCTGCGAGGTGCACCGAGCTCATGTGAAGCTGTTGCGGGTGCTCAGGGAATGAGAAATGACCCCTATGAACCAGCCGACATCCCCTATGGTTGCCTTTAAGGGGACAGCCTGGGTTCATTCATTTCTCATTCCCCACTTATCGCAGCGATCGCAAGTGTCAAACTTTTCAAGGACAATGAGGGCTTCATTTCCCTCGTGAAGGCGAGAATGCCAAAATCGATCTGAACAGCTCACAGCGAATTGGCCATGGGTCAAAATCCAAGCCAAATCGTAGCCCCAGTGAACATCCCAGTCCAACCACTAAATTAGGCTCTAAAATGGGTGGTGAATTCACCTGCCAACCAAAATGGGATCCCAAAACGGTTTTGACAACCACAGCCAATTGACAACTCGGAAGCCGCGGGACGCGTTTTGATTTTGTAGAACGAACAATTCAGAGGCGCAACTTCTGGATCAGACAATTGGCTTTCCAAGGTCGCACATGGCTGTGGTTGTCAAAACTGTTTTGGTACCATTTTGGGGTAGGTGCAATACCCATTTTAGTCTATTTGAGTGGTTGGATTGGCATGGTTCACTTGGGGATACGGGATTCTGACCCGTGGCCACATGTATATTGCAGTTGTATCGCGACAAGTTGGACATCTCAGGAAGTCAGAAAGGTTGCTTGGAAAGAAAACATTTGCTGTGTGGGCATCCTGTCGGGTGAGTCGATCTGTCGGTCGGTCCTATGCTAAACCAAAGCTCACCCCGCCTAGCAAAGCCAACACTTCACTTGGCCATAGACTTGCTCAAAGCAATCCCAAGTCAGTGTCAAATAGCCCACACTCAACCTAAATTGAAACCCACCTAGCCCCCACCCCACCTAGAACCCTGTGCAAACTATACAATCCCAGAACCCACCAAAAACCTACCCTAAATCAACAGAACGCAGAACTCGTGGAGTAAAAGTAGCTTGCACCAGCTTCCCAAGCTTGCCGTAGGAGACATACCCGACCAGACTCAGCCTATAGGAAAAAGGTCAAGCCTATCAGGCCCGTCACTACGAAAGACAAGGTTTAGGATACGCAGCACCCTCGAACATCATTGTATAGAAGCAGGTTATGACCTTGCCAACCAATTACTTGGCCGAACATCCCAGTAGCAAGAGGGCTGGCCCTCAGTGATCCAGAGTTTCCTTCCGAGCGGCTTTTGGTCTTGCGCATCTCCTCAGTGTGGCATCGCTGTTGTGACTTGCTTGTCCGCTGCCTAGGCGCATACCTTCTTGGCATGCACTGTTTCTGAAATGGGTGTGCGTGTTGGTTGAGGGTACCCCTTTTCAGGTTGGTTGAAAGGGATGCTAAAAGGAATCCCCACCATGTTGGGGTCCCCCTAATTTGACACATACCCATATTGCAAGCTTACTGTACTTGCACACTTTGCGGCCAGGCAAAAGGGGTGGAGACTATGTTGTCATTCCTGCGACATTTACCCCAAGCTCAAATTGCACCAGCAACTTCAGAAGCAGTCAATGCAGCCGCCAGAATCTCAGTCACGCGGGCAAACCGCTCTGGCTTGACTTGGAGCCTAAGGGCGCAGCAATCTTTCGACGGGCTGCTGCTTGGTTGGACGAAGTGGCCTTGCTGCCCTGTATTATATGCCAGCACGTGACGCTGCTTTCGTTTTGTTGATTGGACACAAGATCAAGGGAATGCAACCAGGAGCTGAACAGTCAAGGTGTTGTTTCTTCAATTAATCTCTTCTCTGCTCGGAAAGTTGTTGTTTGACCCTCATGGACCTGCAATGTATGCAGCAAAAGAACTGCGAAGGGGTTCCTGTAACTTCAGTGACGCCAGGATGAAGTGGACTTTGACCAGCTCCAACACGTTTTGTACTTGGCTTTCTGGTCGGAGCCTCAAAACCAACTGGTGGCATACTTTCTTGGAGAGTTTCTGAGGCTGGGAGGGGAGGATGAGGACGTGGCTTTATCTGCCACGCCCTCTCCATCATGCCCTTTGCGCTTTGCCCTTTGCATGGATAGGCCTTGGGAGCTTTTGAGCGCTTCACCCTATACAGGACGCATTTGCAGACTGCCTCAGGTTGGTGTGGGATACTTGCATCTTGTTGTCCAGCTTGCCACAAGCAGGAGCGAGAACGGAGCTACCTTGCTTCAATCTGAGGTGATTCAGGCAGGGAACTCTCTGGTCAGGGTTACCGGCGTGAGACTTTTATGTCACTCGAGCTGCAACATAGGCTGCAACCTGTGCAAGCTCATCCACTGATCGCTCTTCGGTAGGCGTTCGTTGTTAATCTACTCTAATTGCTTGCTTTGCTTTGCTTTGCTTTGCTTTGCTTTGCTTTGCTTTGCTTTGCTTTGCTTGCTTGCTTGCTTGCTTGCTTGCTCGCTACCCCCTCTCGACCTTGGGAAAGTGCGGTGGCATTCTTTGCCTGCGACATGTCCTGCACTGGATTGTCCTCCTTGACAACTTTATCACAAAGCAGGCATGCCCTTGTTTCTGTGTCGCGATTAATTATTTTGTCTCCGTTTCTAGTTGGTTGCGCAGCTTCCAACAACTCGTGCCGCCTTGTTTGGTGCGACTCTTTGAATCAACAGGTGATTGCACTACAACTGTTCCATAGGTTGCGTGCATGAAAAAGCGGAGGCCTGAGTCTCTGTGCATTTTGGCAAATCCTGCATCACATCCAACGCGAGCTTGAGAGATGCATCGCGATTTGGAAGATTCCTGTGGGTTGTGGCGCCTTTATGCCGCATGTCAGCCCATGGGGCTCCAGCTCAAGGCTTCGAACCTTTTTATGTGCCTTGCCTCGGAACATTAAATTGCCAAAGGCAACAAACAGCAAAGAAATCATGCGGATTCTCTTTCTTACCCTCTGCGGTGTCTGCAGTGAACCCTTAATAAAGAGCTGAATTTGCGTAATTAGGGAGCGTGCCTGACAGGCCATGCGTGGATATGTTCCATTCAATTTCTGTGAGCACTGGCTCCTGCCTGGCAAACACCCAAGAAAGCAATACCTATGGGGTGCTTACTTAGTGATTTGGCAGGTCCTGCATCGCATCATTGGACACAACCGAGCACCAGAGTTGGTCTCAGAGGCATGCATTCCATTCCCTGTGTCAAACGCCAGCTTTGCGGCACCGCCAGGCCTTTACGCTCCTTTACCGGCTTTGTGATGCACCGGCAGCTGTCGTGGCACGCATGGCACACCAAGATTTGTGATGCTCTCCTCGTTCCTGGAAGGTTCCTCTTCTGACGGATGAAAATGGCATCATACAGACTGTGGCCAAATGCTGAGAACACGGACAGTTCCATTTGCGAATGCAAAGCCCAAGGTTGAATCGATGACGCAGGCTCCTCTCAACATGCAGCTTGGTCTCGAGAGTGGTTTGTTGGAGGTTTTGTGGACCTTGTGAGAGAGAGAAAGTAGCACCACCAGGCCCTCACAGCAAGACCATTGTTGTGGCTTTGTCCTAATGTCCGACCACCGCTAGTATGCGGGATGAAGCAATTGTGTGTGTGTATGATGACAGAGCCACCATATAAACTTTAACAATAAACTCTTAAACATTGGCTTTATGTTTGCTGGGCTTTAGCCAATTGATCAGTGACATATCAATGAATTGCCCAGGTTGTCGACGGAATTTCGGGGGCCCTTAGCATTTTTCATGCGTGGGCACCGAAATGGGTCCAAGGCGCTTGCAGCTGGCGGGTTTGCGCCTGCTGGCCTTGTGGTCACAGAACCCCTGGCGACTGCTTGCCGAAAGATGCGGATGGCTGGGGCTGATTTCCCTAAACTCTGATTTGGTTGTGACATGTATTTAAATTGGGAACCCGAAATGGTGGAGAAAGATGTCCGCCAAACACTTTAGAGGTGGCTCCCTATTGGAACTCATGGCCAGTTTGAGTTTCTTGACTCCTACGTTGACAACTTGTGGCAGGTACGACGTTGGAGAGGATCCAGCGGACCAGAAGGACCTCGATGCAGATGACAATCCACTGGTTGGCTCCATTTTTAGGACTAAGCAAGGACAGAACCCGAGGGTGACAACTTCTAGTGATTTTCAGCACGGGGCAATGGCTTTGCTTGGGCCAGGTGCTGGTGAAGGTGCATAGAAACAAAGGGTTTGGCGCCAGCGGCAAGCTGATTGTATCATCACATCGGGGGGTTGCTAGGAATAAAGGGCCCTTTTTGGATCTTTGGATGGTTCCCAAAACAAGAAATCCTTTCCTCCTACCAACTCGGCGGGTTTGCATTATTAGGGGACTGGTTTTGGCCAAACATGTTTCAGACTGTTTTGTTTTGCCAAAACCAGTCTGCCGAAGGCAACTTTTGTGGAAGACCTTCTGAAGGGAACCTAATGGAGACCCTGATGCTGAAAGCCGCTCACGCCAGGCAGCCCTATGGCATTATGGATCATTGCTAGGGTGGCCCCTAACAAGCGCATTTGGGGAGCTTGGCTGAGTTCGCTTGATGTCTGGCGAGTTTGGTATTGACTTAGTCTTGGGTAACTAATTTGAAATACTAGGTATTGGGGCAATTTTGGGGGTCGGCTGGAGATGTTTTTCATGATTCGGGGAACGCTTATTAATGATTGGGAAGAAGGGATTGCCATTTTTAGGTGCTATGGCAAGAATGACAGCCTTGTTGGCACGTACAGTATGCGCTTGAGCACGGCATCGTCAAGTTCAGTCCAAATCTGAACCAACCCAGGCCAGCACGGAGACAAAATCGATCTTGGCCGTCATAAAGCTCTAATCGGATGCATGAGCACATGTCAATGTATATGCATCAAGTTTATACACAAATGTCTTTCTCTATGATCTCTCTCTACAGTGAAATTCATGTACTCATGGTGTATCAACATACGTTATGTACCGGGTAAGTGCTGTCCGGGTTGATCTAAGTCGTCCCGGGTGAGTGTGCCCGTTGTGTTTGTGGATGTAAGGATAGTTGTCTCAAGCATGTCATTTTCTGCAATCGCATGATTCTGTGCTGTGCGCATGCAAAATGCATGATGTTCTACTCGAGGTATCCTGACAGAAAGGTGCCCATGAGATCCCAGATAAAAAAAAAAAAAAAAAAAAAAACATTAACATTTGGTCGGCTTCCATGTGCCGTGTGCATGCTTGTATGTTCACTGCCACTGGGTGGTTCTCTCTTCTCATGCCGCAGCACTTGAAGAGTCGCGCGGCACTCGCGCTGGCAGCTGGTTTGTCGGGCGTTCCGGCCCAGAACCGGTTGTTGTGTACTAGCCCTGGCTTGGCTTAGCCCTAGCCGGGGGCTGGCTGGTTGGTCCGGGTACTTGGTGTCAGGGCTGCGTATTAGCCGTGATGCGGTGGCAGTTGAGAGTTGCTCAGTTGGTTGAACGCTTCGGCCTTGGGGGAGCCAACAGAAAGCACTATTTGTGTTTGAAGGATAGGAACCCTTTAATTGCAGTGTGCCCAATAGGGTTTTGCCTGGGAAAAGCATTCAACATGAACCCAAACCAGTGAGTTTTGAGCATGTGCGCGCAGTGTGCGATGAATTCTTGGGGTTTGCAACATCGCCCTTCCAGTTCTGTGCCCATTGTGTTTTGCAAATGGGGTGACTTAAAACGCATGGGGTGACTTAAGCGGATATGCGTAGTTCCAAGCGGCTGGGGATGGCTGGGGTGACTTAACGCGACGTGGGGTGACTTACGACGCCCGCTTGTACGTGCTTGCATGTTGTCATTATTTCACTCTTCTCTCCTCCTAGCTTGAGATGACGTCCACATGAATGTTCAAATGCTACCGTTTGCGAGTCGTATCACTTGTCAAGGTGCATAATCTCTGGTCTCCAGAGTCGTGTAAGCACTCACACACACACATGTACATCTTTCACACACACACATACAGATTTCTCAACACATGCCTGCATACGCAAACAGCATACGTGCATGTATGCCGAAGCTGCTGGGTGGTACTTGAACAGTCGCAACTTTTGCTGCAGCACTTTCACCCAGCGATCCACTGGCCCAATCCAACGCCTCGGCGATGCAGAAAAGGACTCATCCGGGGCTGAAGAGTTGTCTCGGATGCCAGTCTTCTGCTCCAGCATCTGTGTTCACCAACATCAAAGGTCGAGCCATTTGCATATGTGTGGCAGCACCCCTACGGCATCGATGGTTATCTCTCAAAGCCCGGGCCATGGGAAGCCTTTGGCTCGCACGCCGCTGGATGCCAAAGCAGCCTTCCACTTCGAACTCCCATTGCGTTGCCTTTGGCAATGTCTTGCTAGTCCTGAATGTACTTGCGCAAGCCCTTCTTTCAATCGCTATGAACGGTTCCCAATACATTGCCAGTGAGACATTTCACCAAGACAGGTACTAGACCGAGCTACGTTATGAGAGCGCGTGTGAGGCACTCTTCTCTCTGTCAACAGAGCGATGCGCCCATGCTTGCGCAAACACCGACAGGACTGCTTTGCACGCAGCTCTTTCATCTTGCCACCGTACTACGGAAGGGTATTTATTTTAGGATATTTGTTTTGCTTTTGGCTTTTTGGCTTCTTGGCTTCTTGACTTTTGGGCTTCTTGGCTTCTTGGCTTTTCGGCTTCTTGGCTTTTTGGCTTCTCGGCGTCTGGGCTTTTCGGCTTTGTGTTGGTTTATGCGGCTTTTGGCGGCTTTTTGTCCTTGGCTTTTTGCATCCTCTGCATTCCCAGTTCCTCTTCGGCAGGTGGCGTTTTGGCTTTATGCGGCTTTTGGCGGCTTTGGCTTTTTGCATCCTCTGCTTCCACAGTTCCTCTCTGGGCTTTTTGGCTTGTGCACCCTTTCATTGTTTTTTGGATTTGGCTTCCCGCATCATCAGCATCACCAGTTCCTCCCTATTTGAATCATCGAGGGGAAGCCCCCCCCCCCAAAACCCCCCCAACCCACCCGCTACTGTTTAGATTTCGTGCAGAGATTGAATCGCACCCCTATTTGAATCATCACTTTTTAAAAAGCGTCCAATTTCGCGAGAAAATGCTGCAAAATACGATTTTTGGGTAATCTGTGTAATCCATGATATGCCTGTATGTATGCACTTCTTCGAACATCATAGGGGAAGTCACCCCCTCCAACCCTCCCGCTGCCTTTTAAATTCTATCGCACCCTTTCTTGAATCATTGCGCCCCTACTTGAACCATCACTTCTTCCGACATCATGGGGGGGGCTGCTGCCCCCCCCAACACCCCCGCTACGTTTTAAATTTTAACGCCTCCGGCTCAGGCCGCCGACATTACAGGCCTGCTTTCTTATTTGCGTCCCTTTGGAATTGTCCCCTTGCCCCCCTTCCCCTCTAAGATTTTTGCCCCCCTTTCCTTGTTGAGATCCATTCCACTTTTCCCCCCTAAGGCCCTTTCTTCCTCTGTGATTTTTCCCTTTTCCTCCCTGAAATCTTTCCTCCCCCTTTCCCTGTTGAGATCCTGTCCCCCCTTTCCCCCCTAAGGCTTTTCCCCCCGCTGAGATCTTCTCCCTATTCCTCCCTAAGGGGGCAAAGCCCCTTCCCCTGTTGAGATCCTTTCCCCCCGTCCCCCTAACACCTTTCCAGATCTTCTCCTTCCTAAGATTTTGCCCCCCTTTCCCTGTTGAGATCCTTCCCACCCTTTCCCCCCTAAGGCCTTTCCCCCCCTGAGAGCTTCTCCCTGTTCCTTCCTAAGATCTTTCCCCCCCTTTCTCTGTTGAGATCATTTCTCCCCTTTGCCCCCTTAAGGCCTTTGCCCCCAGATCTTCTCCCTTTCCTCCCTAAGATCTTCCCCATTCCCCCGAAGGCCTTTCCCCCCCTGACCTAAGATCCTTTGCCCCCTTTCCCTGTTGAGATCCTTTCCCCCCTTTCCCCCCTAAGGCCTTTCCAGATCTTCTTCCTTTTCCTTCCTAAGATGTTTCCACCCTTTCCCTGTTGAGATCCTTTAACGCCTTTCCCCCCCTGAGATCTTAAGGCCTTTCCCCCCCTGAGATCTTCTCCCCTTTTTCTCCCTAAGACCCTTTGTGCCCCCTTTCCCTGTTGGGATCCTTTCCCCCCTTTCCCCCCTAAGGCCTTGTCCGCCCTGACATCTTCCCCCTTTTCCTCCCCGAGATCTTTCCCCCCGGTTGAGATCCCGTTCCCCTTTCCCCCCAAGATCTTCTCCCTTTCCTCCCAAAGATCTTTTCCCACCTTTCTTTGTTGAGATCTTTCCCCCTGTCTCCCCTGAGGCCTTTTCCCACCCTGAGTTCTTCTCCGTTTTCCTCCCTAAGATCTGTTCCCCCCTTTCCCGCTTAAGATCCTTTCCCCCGTTTCCCCCCTAAGGCCTTTTCTCCCCAAGATCTTTCCCTAAAATCGTTTCCCCCCTTTCCCGTTTGAGATCCTTTCCCCCATTGCCCCCTAGGGCCTCTTCCCCCCGAGAAAGATTTCCATTTTCCTCCCAAAAATCTTTTCCCCCCTTTCCCCCCTAAGGCATTTTTTCCCCAGATCTTCTGCCTTTCCTCCCTGAGATCTTCTGTTGAGATCCTTTCCCCCCTTTCCCCCCTAAGGCCTTTCCCCCCCTGAGATCTTCTCCCTTTTCCTCCCTAAGATCTTTTGCCACCTTTCCCTGTTGAGATCCTTTCCCCCCTTTCCCCCCTAAGGCCTTTTCCCCCCCTGTGAGATCTTCCTTTTTTCTCCCCAAGTTTTTTTCCCCCGGTTGAGATCCCTTCCCCGCTGCCCCCCGAGATCTTCTCCCTTTTCCTCCCTAGGATCTTGTCTCCCTGTCCCTGTTGAGATCCTTTCCCCCCTTTCCCCCCTAAAGCCATTCCCTGTCTGAGGTCTTCTCCCTTTTCCTCCCTAAGATCCTTCCCCTCTTTTACGGTTGAGATACTTTCCCCCTAAGGCCTTTTCCCCCCAGATCTTCTCCCTTTCCTCTCTAAGAGCTTTCCCCCCTTTCCTCCCTAAGATCTTTCCCACCCTTTCCTTGTTGAGATCCTTTTCCTCCTTTTACTCCCTAAGGCGTTCCCTGAGATCCTTCTCCGTTTTCCTCCCCAAGATCCTCCCCCTCTTTTCCGGTTGAGATCCTTTCCCCCTAAGGCCTTTTCCCCCCAGATCTTCTCCCTTTCCTCTCTAAGAGCTTTCCCCCCTTTCCTCCCTAAGATCTTTCCCACCCTTTCCCTGTTGAGATCCTTTCCCTCCTTTTACTCCCTAAGGCCTTTCCCCTCTGAGATCTTTCTCCGTTTTCCTCCCCAAGGTCCTTCCCCTCTTTTCCGGTTGAGATCCTTTCCCCCTTTCCCCCTTTCCCCCTTAAGTCCTTTTCCCCCAGATCTTCTCCCTTTCCTCCCTAAGATCTTTCCCCCCCTTTCCTCCCTAAGATCTTTCCCACCCTTTCCCTGTTGAGGTCCTGTCCCCCCTTTCCCTCCTAAGGCCTTTCCCCCCCTGAGAGCTTCTCCCTTTTCCTTCCTAAGATCTTTTCCCTCTTTCCCGGCTGGCATTTTTCCACCAGATCTTCTTCCTTTCCCCCCTAAGATCTTTTCCACCCCTTTCTCTGTTGAGATCATTTCTCCCCTTTCCCCCCTAAGGGCTTTTTTCCACAGATCTTCTGCCTTTCCTCCCTAAGATCTTTCCCCCCCTTTCCCTGTTGAGATCCTTTCCCCCCTTTCCCCCCCAAGGCCTTTCCCCCCCTGAGATCTTCTCCCTTTTCCTCGCTAAGATCTTTTTTCCTTTCCCGGTTGAGATCCTTTCCCCCCTTTTCCCCCTGAGGCTTTTGTCCCCCAAGATCTTTCCCTCCCCCCCCTCCCCGATCTTCTCCCCAGTTTCCCCCCGACATTTTTCCCCCCCTCTTCAAAGATCTTCATTTCCCTTCACTTTCCTTCACTTCGGTTCATGCCCCTTTATGTCTGTTTTTGTTCCCTTTCTTTTATTTCACTTCATGTTACTCATTTCCATGCATTCTTTCATTTCCAGATGTTCCTTCACCAGCATGGGCAACATCCCCAGCATCACTTGCATCATCCGCATCCTTGGCAGGCGCTGATGCAGGTAATGCTGGCGATGTTGCCCAGGAGGTGCTAAGGATGCAAAGGCGGATCCGGGGGGAATCGAACACCCCAATGTTTTTACGGAACTGTGTTGCGCACAGCCCCCAAAAGAAAGGATGTAGTGGAACGTCTTGGAATCACCGCGTGGTACGTGGACCCCCCCCCCACCCCCCGCAATAGTCTGAAACTGTGCCCCTGGGGAGGGGTAAGGGGAGGGGTAAAGAGGTAAGGAGCATTTCTTATGTCCAACACGCTGTCTTGTTGTCGGCGGATTTTCTACAGAGATTTAATTGCAGCCCTAGTTGAATCATCAATCCTTCGAACATCATGGGGGGGGCTGCCGCCCGCCCCAACCCCCCCCCCCCCACTTTACTTGTTGCAGAGATTGAACTGCGCCCCTATTCGAATCCTCACTTCTGCGAACATCATGGGGGGGCTGCCGCCCCCCCAACCCCCCCGCTATTTTTTTTTACAAGGACTGAAATGCCCTCCTATTTGAATCATCATTTGTTTGACCTCGTCAAACCGCCAGCTACTTTTTCGATTTTGTTACCCACAATTTGTTGGTGATGCTAGGGATGTTGGTCGGACATGCGGGGGATGGCAGAACGATACTGGGGATGTTGACGGGCTAGTGTAAAATGCGTCAATTTCGCGAGAAAATGCTGTAAAATGCGACATTTTACTGGCCCGGACGAAAAAAACAAAAAACATCCCAACAGATCAGGAAAAAACAAATCCGCATTCCCGTGCTACTAGTGCAGGGGTGCCGAGCAGTGCAGCTTTTCCAGATTGCGGCGTAGAGAATCTCCAAAGGAGTTTTGCCAGACGTCGCGAATTCCGACAGGACCTTGTCAGTGTTCGCCCGAGCGATGTCCTTCTTGCTGTCTTGTCACTTGCTACCGTTGGTGCCACCGGGCGCACGCGGGCCAGCTAGAAGCTGCCAGTCAAAGCATGGCTCCTGGTCGCTTCATGGTGGTTGCTGGCCTCTTGTGGGATTGCCGAGTTGCCTCATGGCACCACTGGCGTTGAGCGGCGCTCATAGTGAGAGGAACAACATTAAAACACTTCAGGCAAAAAGTACTATGTCGATGACAACCTTGTTCGGACAACACACACGTGTAGTACATACAATATATATATATGTATATATACACATAAACAAACAAGAATAACAATGGTCCCCTCGGGAGCCCTGTGCCGAGCTACGCAGCCAACGTAGACGCGTGAGGGTTTTCTGCCAACGTCGCCGGCTAATGGCACGGTTTGCGTGAACATCTGGAATGCGGTCTCGATGTTGAGAATATATAAATGGCTGGGCCTTAAAGTAGTAATCGCACCCCCACAAATGGTGGGTTTGTCTTGGGCTTCCGTGTAAACCAAGGCTCCTTTTTGGGTACAGAAGATCAACCAGCGACAAGCCCAAGTCTGTGCCCGAAGGACAGTCCAAGCCTGGCGACTACTATGCATTCACACGCAACTCCCCCCGAGTGGCATCATGAAGGTGGCAGGTTTGCAATGCTGCGCTGGAGGCTCCAAAACCCTTGTCGCGCTTGCGCACAAAAGCAGAAAGTGCAAGGGGCACAACCCAGCGTGCGCAGGCACAAGGAAATCAAACCAATCAAGAACTCTGAGCAAGTATGCGCCCCTTCGAGCTCCTTTGCAGGTTTTCGAGCTCTTCTTGGGTGCCTGATTTGTTTTTGTCTTTTATGTGTGTGTGTGTGCAGTTTTGTCACACACACACAGTGTTGCCTCAGCACAACATGCCAAGCTGCTGGCAGGTACGGTAGAAATCAAGAAACGGATTCTGCTTTCGAGTCTTGATTCTAGTTTCACAAACTGCTTTTTGGCGACACCATGTCCTGAGCAAAACATGCTAAATGCACTGATTTGGAGGTATAGGATGCCATATAATTAGAACAGATCACACGCACGACATACACACACATATTTATACATACAGGCCAGGACAGGACGGGATAGGACAGGACAGGACGACAGAGACGACAGACAGAGACAGATAGACAGGCATGCATCCATCATACATGCGACAATGAACTTGTGAATGTGGGTTTGCAGGATCTCAAGCTCTTTATCAGAGAGGTGTAGCATTCAGTTATGATACAGTACAATTGGGCGGAAGCATCGCGCAGTTGAGGCAAACGCCTACGAGGTCTCTAGAGATGTCATCTCCAACCTGACACGAGCTGGGCGCAATTCTTAGGTCCACTGCCACTGGCGCATCGTCTGTGAATGTAGGCTGAGTCATGCAGCGACCTGGATGTCCACGATCTCCTCCCGCTTGTTCGGCTCTCACCGAAACACTTTTCTCGGGTGGAAAGAGGGGGTTCGGGAGGCCCCAGCGTGTCCGTGGCCGAGACGACGAACCTCGAGGCGAGAAGTTTGAAATCAAGTGCCTCACTGTTCGAAGTAGCATGTGCTTCAGGTCGTGAGCGCCCTAGATAGGTGCTTGGCACATGAACATCGTGTGGCAAGTGAAATGGTTGCCTGAGAAGGAATGTGAGCCCTGGCTGCCAAAGGCAAGCTGGGTGCAACTCCGAATTTGCTGCATGTCATCTTACGAGCGCAGAAATGGCCGTTTGGAGCCGACATTTGTTTTGTGCCCGAAAGTTTGAGAGGCGTGCTATATGAGGTCTGAATATGGGATTCATCTTGAGTGTTGGAATCCTAAACCACCAAAATGCTGTACACATGCAGTAGCCAAGGTCTATGAAGAATTTGGGACAAAAAAAGCACATGTTGAAGGCTGCAAGCTGCTGGCAGGGGCACAATAAAGAGCATTTTGAAACTAGAAGCTGTTTTGTTTGTCCACGCAGCTTTTGGAGCTTCTAGCTGCTAGCCGACAGGTGCATTGTATATGGCTGCGGGCTTTGGGCTTGGAGGTGTCGCCTGGTGTTGAGTCGCGTGGTAGCACGTCAAAAGGTGAGCAACGTGTTGAAGAGTTTCGCTTCGCAAAAAGAACCGCGCTGTGGCGCGCTAGGAATTGCTCAGATGTGGCGCTCTGCAGAGTCAGTTTAGAAGTGTTGCTCAGAAGCGCTGCTCAGAAGTATCCGCAAGAGGCCCGTCAACTGAAGGCTTCCTTCAGACATATTGCTGAGAAGCGTCATTCAGGATTGTAGGTCAACACTGAGGCTCAGAAGTCTTTTGTGGAAGTGTTGCATCAGTGTCAATCAACAGTGAAAAAGTAGTGTCAAGCGTCCCAAGTCTACATGCTGCTCAGAAGTGTTCTCCAAAGTCAAAGTAGTGGCTCTGTTAGCCAACAGCGTCAGTTCAGGGTGTTGCAAAGCAGGGTTGAAACTGGAGATGTTCTCAAGCAGTGTTGCTCAGCAGTGTTCGTTAGAACCACCGCGTTAGAACCACCGCTCACGAGTTCAGAGACTAGCAGTGTAGCCCGGCTCAGTCGGAGGTGCGTCAGTGAGACTTGTTCCAAAGATGACTTTTGAAAGCGGCGCTCAAATTGAAGAAAGGAAAAGCGTACTGAAAGGTGGCCCCTGTTCCCCTGAAAAGGGGTGGCCATGTTTGCACAGAGATGTTTTTTGTTTTTCGTGTTGCGAGAGAGCGCGGTGGGTATTTTCGGCTCCCAGAGTGTACAAATTATGCCGTCCAAAAAGGCAGCGGTGGAGGTGGGGCCCGGCCTGCACTGCTTGCATGGTGAGATGGGCCCGGCCAGGAAGTTGTTGAGCCTGAAGAGCCAGAGCTCGTCGAGGCTCGTAGTCTTTGTTTTGAGTGTTGCGCGCGCGTGTGTGTGTGTGTGACCGCTTTGAAGTCTCATTTGTTGCGAGGGCGATGAGACTGAGCTGGAGACGGGCTTGAAGTTGCCCTTGAAGCCCAATGCTGCTGTCTCAGTTTGGGGCCGTGCGATCCTTTATGTCACGAGAACCTCGTGAGGATGTGGGCCGAATCTGGACGCTGGACCTAGCAGCTCAGTCCAAGCAGCTTACGGAGCTTCTAGGCCCATCATCAGATCCTCTGCAATGCACCAAAGACTTCCATTCGCCAGGCTTGGAAGCAGCTCATCCTCCAGTAGCACGGAGGTGCTTGGGTGAGCCCCTTTTGGGGCACTTTGCTGAAAAAAGGAGCTTTGCGGCACATTTCCCCGAACTGTTCCAATGACCTGAAGGGGTGTGCGAATGAAATTCACTGCCAGGGAGATCATATGTGACTTCCACCTCTTCAACCTCAGCCATGCCAAGATGTTGTGCTTAACACAAAGGCAGGAATGGTCAACTTGGCAATGACATGGTGCCATGCCTCCATGGTCCATATGCATACTTGGCTAGATTGCCCAGACAGCATGTTGCCTTTCTACAAGAGGGTCCTTTTCAATGGCTTTGGCTATGCCAGCCGCAGATCCGCTGTGAATCGCCATGGATTTAGTTCAAGATCAGATGCGCAGTGAGTCTACTGGTTTGTGTTGAAACCCGGCCAATTTGTTGCCAGCAATGCCTCCTGTCCTAGTCATGTTCAGAACTTGGGACTTTTTTTGATGGAGCGGCCGCACGCACAGTAAGAGTCACATTGCGAGCACAGACTTCCTGGCAGGCAAGGTGCTGTTTTCCATGCGATTATGACTACCGTCCTGGAGCTCGTCTTAGCATTCGAAGGACTTAGCACTGTGCATTGCTTGGCCAGGACATGATGGCTGGTTGGGGGTCTGCAGATTTGCAGGCACGCTCCGGGTATGTGTGTGGTATCTTAGCTGGAGCTGTCAGGGCGTGACTGTTGAAGAGTGGCTGGCCCAGTGGGGTGACGCAACAATTTTTGGGTACTTGCCATTGGCACGCAAAGGTGCGTGAAGGAGTTCCAGCGGCTTCTTGTGATGCATTCTGTCAATGATCCTCCCCGTCGCTTGGTTCTCAGCATAGCCTCATGGAGTGAGCAAAGTACGAGTTCAAGAAGTTCAAGTAGAGTCAGCGAAGCAGGCTCAGAATCAAGACTTTAGGGGATTTTGGTGGCCTTTGGTTGCCTTTGGTGGCCGTCCGGCGCATTGTTCTTTTCGTTGTCGGCTTTTCTGCAGTGGTTTCAGCAATGGTCAATGCACGGCTTTGTGGCGTTGCTGGTAACCGGTGTTGGGTTTCAGCTATCGCTGTTGAGAATTGCCCACAAGTCTCCAGGGTAGGGTGCGCTGGTGCTTATTGCCACTCAGGACTAGCAGTCTTTGGCAATGCCGAGGACTGATATGTTACAAGTTTCCAAGCCATGGATAGTTCTTGGCTGTCTCCTCGCGCTCGGCAGGCTTGCCATTTGGCAGACTATGCATCTGCCACTCTCTTCAAGCACCCGCCTTAGAGGCTGATGATAAGTGGTATGAACTCATGATCGAGGCACTTCCTCCTCTACCAGTTCTGTGCGCGATGCGAGAGGGATGTGGAGACACTACGCTTCAGCGTCGAGGTGGAGAGGCCGCTGAGCTTTTTTCACGCTGCGCCAGTGCCACAAAAACCGAAGCCCGCTCAGGCCCGTCGTCCCGCCTGCCTTGCCGAATGCAAGGCAGAAGCCTTCCAGAAGGCAGGACTGGGGTCAGCCCAGTTTGTATGGCAAAAACGGCCTTTGTAGCCCGCGCAGACCGCAGCAGACTCCTGAGAATCCGGAAGAGGCTGCCAGCACGGAGGCCAGAGGCTGTGCAGGTCAATTGTGCGAGCAAGCCGAGCGCCGAAAGCAGCCATCGATTCAGGAGAAAACTGCCGCTGTTGCTGGCGAGGCCTTTGTTGCCTTCGTTGGTTTTGCCGAGAAAAAGAGACCGGTGCCCTGAGGAGCTAGATGAGATCCAGCGGATCGTGGAGGCTCAAAGACTTTGAGCTTCGATGAGTCAGCACTCGCAAGCCTCAGGAGAAGCTTCGCATGACTGAAGCCAGGCTTGAGGCCGGATGACAATCATGATAGGGAGCCGCAGATACATTATGTCCTCACGCTCCCTTGTTCGTCTAGAGTCTTGGTGGTTTGAAGGGAGCCAAGGAGCTGGGGTTATCCAAGATTGAAAGAGGGAGCCTTTCGGAGCTACCAGCAATTCTGCAAGGACCCCTGCCAATCTGGGGGTGCTACCCTTTTTTTTGAAGGCTACCCTTTTTGGCTCGTTTGCTCGCAAAATCAAAGGAAGGCCCATGTTGGGTACCGAATCCTATGAGCCAGACCCATCTCCCGCTTGGAAAAAAATCGGAGGCGAAATTGGCCGAGAGAGAGCAGCAGTTCATGGAGCGCATGGCAGCGCGGCAAGCAATATATTGGCATCTACATTGCTTGTTTTAACCATCGCTTTGTGCGCAGTAGGAATCCGGTCTATGCATGCAGACAATTCGTGAGCTGTTGCATGCCGAGGCCGCCAGATGAGCAATTGCACCTGGCGTTTGATACACTTGCGGAGGGGCCTTCCAAAGGAAGGAGACGTTTCACCTTCAAGATAGCAAGCATGTATGGTTAAAACAGGATTGCCACATTCGCCTCTTTGCAGGACGACTCTAGATCCTGTGAAGCTGCAGTTTCAAGTCTCAAAAAGATGTACAGAGAAATTGCAGAGTTCCAGTCTTCGAGTGACGAGCCGTCACGTTGCCCACTTTCATCTTAATGTCTTGCTACCTTCACGGAGCACGCACGCAGGGATCCCTCCTTGGCATTCCACCATTATGTCATCATAGTACAGGTGCAACTAACCACAATCCTTGTTTTCTATAGGCAGTGTTTTTGTTTTTCTCGATTGCATGATTCTGGGCGGTCAAAGAGTATCCAAGGTTTCGGTTAGATACTTCCGCCAGACAGCATTTGCAGCTTGGAAGCAGACCACATATTTCCCGATGGAGAGCTGATGGCGGGAACTCAAGGCACCTCAAAGATCAATCGCTTCACGCGAGCTCTGAATGTGGAGCTGCGGATTCATGCGTATTCAAGTTACCCTTACTTGGTGGTTTGGATTGGTTTGGGGATTTGAACCCATGGTTCTTGTAGAGGGTAGATAAGAAGCCACCCCAATCACAGGGAAGCTGAGATATTGCATGTGCTTCAATTATGTCCTACAGAGCTACGTTTAGCTTTGTGCATTTGTCACACACACACATGTTCCGCCAACTTAGCTGGTGAGCCGAATTCGCGTGCCTGTGTGTGGGTTGTGCGTGTGTGTTCTGTTGCCTTTGCTTGCCTGCTTGCTTTGCTTTGCCTGGCTTGCTTTCTGATTTGGGTGTGGCTCAGAATTTAAGAGCTAGGGTTACGCAGGTTTTAGTCTTTGGTTCCATTTACCAAGGTATGGTTTTAGTACATGTTTTTGAGCCACAGCCATTTGTGTCACTCTTTGCGTGTATGTTCTTGACAGGTGGCTTGGAACTGACACAGGAGCATGTGCAGAGAGCAGCTTGAATGATCGTATCGGGATCAAAAGTTGATCCATTGATGCCAGACATTGAAAACACATGGGTGTGGTCAAGAATAGGGTAACCTCAAAATGCAACTCTGGTAGATGGAAACAAGGATCAAAACCTGCGGTCCCCTGGTGGTTTAATTTTGACTCATGCCCACATCTGAGCACGAGTTGAGAGTCAGGACGAACGAGTGCTCCGCGGGCTGCTGCAGCTGGACGCCTAAAGAATCTGCTTCTGGAAACTAGAGTCGTCAAGAAAACTTTGCGCGAGCCAGGTTTTTTCTCTGCGCGGATGCTCGACGACCTTCAGAAGAGGTCCCTTTACGTTTGAAGTGCCCACTCTCGAGTTCCCCACTGCAACGCTTTCTGTTGTGGGAAGCTGTTTCTCCGATCCAGGTACCGGGACCTGATTCTCACAGCCTTTCCATCAGCAGTCTCACAAAGTCGAGCTGCTGGCCTTGAGACGCAGGTGGTAAGCATGTGACATAGATGCTGTGGATGCAAGCATTGGGATGGAGGAGCCAACACTGGTTGGAGCATCAGATGAGGACCGTGAGAGCTTTCGCATGTTGTTTAGACTTTGCAGCTTGCAGAAGTGTCGCTTTGTGAGATGGCTCAAGTGGAGCATGGTTGCAATGAACACGTATGATAATCACATTCTCAAGGGGTTTAACTTTGACACCATTTCTTCTCTGATGATGAATCTGAGAAGCTAGGATTGAGACACATGCTCGAGACATTGAGTTTGGCAAAAAGGGGTGCAATGGCATCGAGTCACGCGGATGCAGAGCCTGATGCCTCAGTTGAGTGTGGGGGCTGACAAATCAGTTGCAGTTTTTCAGTTTTTCCTGTAGAACCAGCTAAGAAAAGCATGTCTTCGAGAAACTAAGTTTGCGACCGCTGGGCCCCGAATGTCAGAATCGATGTGGCTGCAAGCTCAGATACGCCGGGGAAGAGGTGTTGAAACCCGCAGGTTCTGAACGCTAGAGTTTTGCGGGCTTGAATATCAATCTGGCTGTGGGTCAAAATCAATGGTACCGTTTTGGGGTAGGTGCACCACCCATTTTAGTCTATTTTAGTGGGGATTGGGATGTTCACTGGGGGTACGGGCTTGTGACCCATGGCCATCTGGCATTATTTTGCTGAACCTCAAGTTCCAAGAGCAACTCGCGAGCGAGTCATTAGAGATCATGGAGGCGTACGCAAATTGGGCGACGGAGGCATTGCCTGCGTTGAATATGTTGGGGATTTCTCAAAGATCACCACCAAAAAGGCCGTGTCCTTTGTTTCCCCGTAAGAAGCATCCAAACACCCTCCCTTTGAGTAAGAGTGCAGGGTTGGGTGTGGTGCTGCTTGCTGACAGCGCATATGGCTGGTCCCAGGACCGGGGATTGTCCTGGTTCCGGTGTTGATTGTTGGTTTTAATGTGTTGGTGCGGCAGGGCGCTCGCAATGAAGCAAGTGCAAGCACGCCCATGCCGCCTTCAGCTGGGTTTGGTCAACTCTAGTTGCCAGTCCTGATCCAATATTGTCTACTACCAACGGTGCATTCTTCCCATTAGGCAGTGTTGCATTGATGACGTTGCCCTGCTTTGTGCCTCTCGGTTTCGTGGCCGCAACAATGTTCCCGAGCCGGCATCTCAAGGCTGGACAGCTTTCCCTGGACGGGCGACATGCTGCAGGTCTGATTCATCACCTTTCGCTCGCCAAATTTGCACGTCTTGCATTCGCAGGCCTTGCGCAGGAGCTGGCGGCCCTCATGCCAAGGATGCCGTGACTGCATTTTGCTAGGTCCCCCAAAGTGAACACGTTGAGGGACCCCTTCTCAACTTACTGTTGGGGTGGTTTCCCTTGGAGTTGGTAACGAGGACGTCACCTTGATGGACCCTGTTTTGCATCTGGCATGAGGACTGCAGCACAAAAAACCGGCCGAGCCGGCCAATGCTGGATTCAAGCCTTTGCGAGAGGGGATGCGGCCGCGAGCTTGGGCTGAGCTCGCCTGAGCTACAAAATGTGTGTCATGGACAGCTTCCGGATTGCACGGCAAAGAAGTTTGCCAAGGTTGATATGCAGAGCAAACAGACAGTTTCACTCTTGAGATGTTATTGGTGTAAACTACCCCTTTTGCACACCCCCAGTGTAAGATATCAACTAGGGTTAGAGTTGTCACCGTTGCATCCAGATATGTGTTCAGATCTCGTGCCTCCTACCATCTTTTACCTTATTTGGCTTGGAATTTTATTGGGTAAATGATGTCCACCAAAGAGCGCTTATTGAAGTTCAATAGAAAAAAATCAGTCAAGTGACAGAACTGTTCCATGGCAGTCGGGTTTTGAGGCCGTGCAATGTTCGGATCTTTCTCGACCTGCTGCTCTCGATGCAGGGGTCCCGAAGGCTGGTGGCACAGGATCTGACGCCATGGGATCTTAGCATTCTTTTTGGTCGACAGGCCCCCATGCTGTTGACTGCGCAGAGAAGGGAAAACGCCAAAGCAATGCGTTTGCTGGACCCTCGGTTCTACTGAAGTGGAAGTGAATCAACATTTAAGTCAGGCTTTTCAGGGATGTGCTGAGGCTGGAACCCTGACAGGGCAAGAAGATGTAGAGGATAGTCTCAGGCAGCAGTTGGAGGAAAGCAGTTTGCGCTTGGCTGTGATAGCTCCAAACTCCTTGTGTTTTGTTGACCGATGCAATGGTAGGAGTGGCACGCAGCTGGCGCAATGCAATCATTTGAAGAGGCATGCGTTGCGATGGAGCTTGCTTGTGGTTGACGTGGCTGATCCGGAATCAAAGCTTTTTCTGGGAAACGATGAGTCAGGTGCAGGATGTCATCCGGGAATTGTCGGCATCAGCCAAAATCGAGGAGCAGGCCTGGGGCCGTTTCAGGGAATTCGAGTTATGACTATGAGACCTGCAGGTTGTGAAGATGCTTTGGTTGTCCGTAGCAAGACAAACAAGGCCGCCTTTGGCAAAGCTAGTATCACCCTGCTCTGCCAAAGGGCGTGAACCATTCGAGGCCGTCCACAGATCCGCTCGCAGTGTGGAGACCTCGTGAATTGGCGAGCTTTTGAATTGCTGACGTCAATAGCTCATAGGTGCAAGAAGTGAAAGACGTGAGAGCTGAGGTATATAGAGCTTGCCAAGAAGCATCACAATGTCCAGGAGCTGAGCTTAGCGGAAAACATGTTCCTGAGCCTTGCCTCGAAGCTCCAAGGTCGAGATCGTGGATTTGGGCCCGGAATCTAGCTGGACTTCGACATGCACTGTAGAGCGATGTCAACAGAATCCGGGGTCATGGAATCCTCAGGGTGCAGCAATCTCAAGGATTATTTGAACAGTGAGAGACATCTTAGGTGACACACGCACAAAATCACACACACAAACACACAAATACACAAACACACACACAAACACACACAAACACACACAAACAAACAAACAAACAAACAAACAAACACACACACACACAAGAACACACAAACACAAACAAACACACACAAAGAAACACACACACACACAACCACACAAACACACACACACACACACAAACACACACACACACACACAAACACACAGAAACACACACACACAAACACAAACAAACACACACAAACAAACACACACACACACACACACACACACACACACACACACACACACACACACACACACACACACACACACACACACACACACACACACACACACACACACACACACACACACACACACACACACACACACACACACACACACACACACACACACACACACACACACACACACACACACACACACACACACACACACACACACACACACACACACACACACACACACACACACACACACACACACACACACACACACACACACAACACAAACACACACACACACACACACACACACACACACACACACACACACACACACACACACACACACACACACACACACACACACACACACACACACACACACACAGCACACACACACACAAACACACACAAACACACACACACACACAGACACACAGACACACACACACACATACACACACACACACAGAGACACACACACACACACGCACCCACGCACACACACACACAAACACACAAACACACACAAACACACAAACACAAACACACACAAACACACACAAGCACACACACAAAGAAACACAAACACACACACACACAAACACACAAAAACACACAAACACACACACGCAAACACGCACACAAACACGCACACACACACACAAACACACACAAACACACACACACACACACACACACACACACACACACACACACACACAAACACAACCACAAGCACAAGCACAAGCACAAGCACAAGCACAAGCACAAGCACAAGCACAAACACAAACACAAACACACAAACACACAAACACACAAACACGCACGCACACGCACACACACGCACACACACGCACGCACACACACACAGAAACACACACACACACACCAACACAACACAACACAACACAACACAACACAACACAACACAACACAACACAACACAACACAACACAACACAACACAACACAACACAACACAACACAACACAACACAACACAACACAACACAACACAACACAACAACACACACACACGGAAAATGGCGTTCCGAGGTGTTCATGCTTTCCCTTCCTATTTTCCCTTCCTTTTTTCCCTTTTTCGTTTGACTCTCTCTCTCTTTTACTTGATGTATTTCCTTTTGTGTTTGTTTCGTTCCTTCTTTCTTGCTTTTCTCTCTCTCTCTCTCTTTTTGCCTCTCTGTCTCTCTCTAAGTCTCTTTTTGTCTGTCTTTGGCATCTGTCTTACTTTTTCTATGTCGCTCTCTCTCTCTCTCTCTCTCTCTTTCTCTTTCTCGCTATGTCTTTATTTCTGGCCATTTCTATGTCTCTGTCTCTTTCTCTCTCCCTCGCTCTCTTTCTCTCTTTGTCTCTCGTTGTCTCTCTTTCTCTCTATGTCTCTGCCTGTCTTTCTCTCTTTCTCTCTCTCTTTTTCTTTGTCTGCCTCCATGCATCTCTCTCTCTCTCTCTATCGATATTTGTCTTTGTCTTTTCGTCTCTCTCTCTCTTTCTCTCGCGCTATGTTCGTTTTAATGAGGATCTGTCACTTCTGGAAAATGTACTTGTTTATTTCAATAAAGGGGACTTAAGCAAATGGAGGTAACTGGACCCCGTACAATGGCTGCATGCTGGGGCAGGTTCCCTTTGCGCCACCAGGCAAAGAGATGGTAGTTTTGAAGACGTGGGACCCAACTGAGGTTCCTGGAAGGTCGCTTTTGCTTCAAAGGAACCCCTTGCGCTCCATGTTGGTTGGTAGGGCCCTTTTTCGGCTTGTGCGTCAATTTGCACGGGGTATTGTAGTGGTCTCTCTCTCTCTGCTTCTCTCTCTCTCTCTCTTTCTCTCTCTCTCTCTCTCTCTCTCTCTTTCGTTAAAATACGTTGATACTTTTCTTCTAGTGCAAGTGTTGTTCAGTTATCACAAACACAAATGTAGTCAGCCAGCATGCACTCTTT